AAAAAATTAATTTAAAAAGCAATAAGAAAATCATCACAAAAGAAGCCTCTATTTTTAATTTATTTTGAATTTAATATCTATTTTAGATTGCCGATCACCAAAAAATTAAAATTCACAACAAAATATCAACTGATATTTTTGACTTTTATCACATTTCTAATGAGCTATTTAGAATATTAATATGAATATTAGTGTTGTGAACAGATAAGCTTAAAGTATTTTGTATATTATTTATTTTTTAATGATGAGTGTAGAAATATAAATTTAATGTAGATATCAAATTTAAAATCTTTTATTAACAAAATTAATTATTACAAGAGAAATTAGTCTGTGCGGAGTCCGGACTGGAAGAATAATTCGAACATATGAGTGTATATACAATATATAAATTTGTACTTAATATATATATCAAATTTTTATGCACATTATATACATACAATATAGACTCTCACAATCCGAATAATTTTTTATGTCCAATTCGCACATAATAATTTCTCCTACGGCGAACACCATAATGCACTTAGCTCCTTTTATCTGATTACATAACAGAGTAAAAAGTGGTCATAAAAACGTGAGAGAGAGAGAGCGAGAGAGAGATAAGTGAAGACAAATGAGGAGACAAGAGACAGTAATGAAGGCAGTGAGGACACATGGTGTTCGTACAGATTGAAACTGTTGGGAGGACATGAACAGGAAGCCTGAAGACCTTTCTGATTGAGAGTTCACTGTTAACTGTTAAGAGCTATTTCTCTAAGCAGCCAATGGAGCAAAAGAGCTATGCTATACATTCAATTTCCAGCTAAAAAAATTCATGGCAGATATCCTATGCCTGCTTACTAAAACTTTGAATATAATACATAGGTAAATTTTAGATCAGTAGGCTTTCTATAATCTCCCCTATCACTGTGTTTCTTACAACAGCACATCAAAGTTAATAAGAGGGAGAGAGAGAGAGAAGAAACATGAAATGCATAGGGCAGTCGGGCTCTTTCCTTCATCCCGGGGCACATCTTTCTATGTTTGATTTCTAGTTGGTCATGATATTGCTGGTTCTGACGTTGACTGTTTGTGAACACCTCCTTAGCTTCATTTCTCATTAATGTCACATTATCTAGTTCATAATTCAAAAATAATTGTAGTAATAATTACAATTTGCCTAATAATAATGCTAATAAGTTTTTTTTTCTGAGTTAGTAGTTAGAGGATAGCAATTTTTTCATTAATTTATGGAGCCATTTTAATAGTTCAGTTACTAATATATCTATTTTTCTCAGTAGAAATCGTGTAGGGAAATTTAGGGTAATGTTTATTTTCTTGTACCATGATTGTAGAAGAAATCAAATATAGGATTGTAAAATTTGAGATGAATAGTGGGAAGCTAATTTTTTAGTGATATTTAGAATCTCCTTTCATTTATTTTTTTGTGTATTTTATATTTGTCTAATTTGATGCAAAACATCTTAGTTAAAATATTATTTAGGCATATGTTATTTAGTTTGTTTCAAGGATTCTAGAATGTTTAAGATTCCTCTAGATTTTTTTTTTTTGCTAGCTTATAAGTATAGGAGTTATAAGAGGGAAGAAGTATGAATATATTTTTGAAAATTTAGCAGGGTTTTCACTGTTTGTGTGTTCAAGCTCTGAAGAGTTTTATTTGAAATGCTTCATCGAATGATCTCCCTACATAATTAATGAAGAAAATTCAAAATGCACTATGATGTTATACATCACACATGAACTTTGCTCATTCTTCATCACTTGTAGCTCATAGGTCTCACTTGATCGTTGTATGAAAAGGCCATCGTCGCATATGACACATGCTTGCTCGCCACTCACTCAGTTGCTCGCCATCACAAGATTCTCCGCTCCTGTACCCCACCTTTGTGAAACTTGCATGCGACGCTATGTTGTCACGACCATAAACCTCATGACATCCGTTGTGAAAGTTGCTTATTGTTCGCCAACTACTAAAAACTCAAATCTATGCAAATTTTGACAAGTTGCAGCTATTTTTACTATAATTGATTAGCAAAAAATTTGAAAACCTCTACAATATTTGTCAAATTGCAACAATTTTTACTACTATTAATTAATTACATGTGATTTAAATTGCTGCTAAACATCTTTTCTTCTAAAATAAAATGCCCTTGTGCCATATCCTTCTCTGAATTTTTTTTTGCCCTAGATGCAACTCCTTACAACAAAAATCTCTAAAGGTTCTTCTTATGCTTATTTTATGTTATTTTTTCTTTCTTTTATTGCATAATCTTTTTCCTTTTCTTCTATAACATTTTTCTTTTTCATTTTAAACTTTTAGACAAAAATAAATGATTGGCGGCAATTTTAATATACCAAGGTGATGGAAGATATGCTTTAATATTCAATTCAAATGTAGTTATTTCTTCTATAAATTAGATACATGTTATTATTATTTTTCTGTGAATTTTGCTGAGGTCCTGATTTTCTTATATGCCCAGCAAAATGTTTAATCTAATTATGTCATTGACATCCAAACTTGATTAATATCTTGAATCAAAATTGTTTTTTTTTTCTTCTTCTTTGATCTCCATTAAAGTGGAATTGTACAAGCCTTTTTTTAACAAATATATTGTATTGTATGCTAATTTCAAATTTTAAATGTTACTTTTATTTGCTAAAAATCGATTTCAATCATCTTTTAAGTTCTTTCTGATTTTTATATCTTTTAAGTTTGATCATGCGAGATTAAAGTTTCGGGTCGGATCATCAGGTCATACGGTAAGTTGAAAAAGACCCGACAAATATTCAAATTTCATTGAATATAGTCGTCGGGTCACCACGTGGCGACATTGTATTGAAATTCGAACGTATAGCTAGCTATTGAAATTCGAACGTATAGCTAACTATGTCCGAACTCTGTACAGAATAATTTCTCCATAAATTGACAGACATTCCTCATTGCACCATGGACTCGCATAGCTAGGACTCATTCCTAAATGATGAATAATGAATAATGACCCATCCATCCAGTCCAATACCTTCACGGTTGCTTCACTTTCTTGATACACTCCAGTCATATTTATGAACATATCATGACTGAAATTACTTATTTAACCACAACTTTTTTAAAAATTTACATCCACATATAAAAAATAAATAAAAGTTTTGCTGATGATCAAATACCCTTCAAAAAGATTTTAAAATCATATTTATTAGTGTATATACGTGTGTGTGGACATACTGCTGTGAGCCCATACGTCTCCATACTGTTTAAACAGTGCTGCATTCATTGAAGACAAGATCAATTTATTTGTCACCAGCTGGCTCTTAATGTCCATGTTGCTTTGTTTTCATTATTAATTGCATCTAAAAGACCCTTCATATGGATCTCATGACCATGATGTATGCAAAGCCAATATTAATCAGCTTGGGAAAAATATCACAGTGCTACAGAGCTTGTAATGAGGAAACAGCTGGCTCAGGCACTGTTTCTCTTATCTTTGGGCTAATTAAGGTTTCGTTCAGAACAACTTTCTTATTGCTTCTTAAATTAATTTTTTAGTATAAAAAGTTTAACTTTTGTATTAAAAAATTGATTTAAAAAATAGTAAGAAATTAAGCTATCCGAAAGGAAGTCTAAGTTGAACTAACTTAGCTCAAATTCAGCTCGATCAATGCATTCTGAGTTAAGCTTGAGAAGCTAACGAGCAAAATTTGAATCAACCATGACTCGGCCTATTTTGCTTAAAAATATTTAAAAATTATATCTAATGTTCTTATTGAAATGATTTGATATAGGTTTTCTTCTAATTATTTTTTATCATTTTATTATGAGAGCTAGCTACTTGAATCAAAATAATTTACTAAAATTTGTACAATATAATTAAGTTTGACCTTAATTTAGAATTTAAATTTAATTAACTAATCAATCTTAAATTAAGATTTTATTTGAGAAGACTTTTGAAAACAAATTTTAATAAAAAAAAAATTAAGAAAGTTGGGAGTGACTGACACAGTTCTACTTGACATTTATAACTCTAGGCTTCCGCTAATAGATGGGTTTCTTTCAAGTCCTCTCGAACTGGTATGCACGTGTGTGACAGATGCATAAATTAGTAATTTCATTAGTTATAATATCATAGAAGGAATGAAAGTAAGAAGTTTTGTTCAAAGAAAGTGAAAAATGGTAGAGGAGAGGAAACCTACCTCTCCATAAGTAGAAATGTTGCTTTCTGCTAATAATAGAAGTAACAGTCACAGCTGCTGCAACAAGGTAGCTAATGGCTATTGCTTGAATGATCTAGAAAGCGAGAGAGAGAGAGAGAGAGGTCAAGTCATGTAGAAATAAAGAAGGCATTATAGGTTGTACAGGTATGATAGCATTAGAGAGAGAAAGAGCCAGAGAGAGAGAGAGAGATTGACTTGTATGTGCTCCCATTCCCATATCTACAAAAGCATATCAACAAAAGCTTACTTAGAATTTCCCCAAAAAAAAAAAAAAAAGCTTACTTAGATTCTAGCTGTCTTCCTCTTGAAACACCTCACGTGCAGCTCCATAAACGATTCAATTCAATCCCACAAGCCAATTGAAATACCATTTTAAATGATTGACAATGCAGCAAAAATGTTAATTTCAGACAGAATTTTTGACTGAAATTGATTCGCCAGCAAGAGATTTTTTGATGAATTCCGACAGATTTTCAACGAATTTTTTTAAAATATTTCCGACGAATTTTCTGCGGATTTATTTCCAACCGAATTTTAAGTTTTCTTAAAAATGACAATCAGAAACATTTAAATTTTTCATTTTGTTAAATTAAATTACATATTACTAAAATAAATAAAAAATTAAAAACCTAATAATATACTAATCAAAATTTTAGTATTATATATAACATCTAGCAGATAATCCAATGCAAAAAGAAGATGAATTAATCCAATATTTGTTGTATTTGAGTGTTGATCACTATGCAGCTGGCTTTAATCTCAATAACTTTGCTTAATAAATCAGCCTTCCGGCACCAATTCATCATTATTAATCGTATGCCACATATATCTAAAATGAAAGAAAAATATTAATAAGAAAGAGATCTATAAGAGAGATGATCATGGGAAGTCATGATGAGGAGAATACATAATAGAAGAAGACGAAGAAGAAGAAGGTCGAATACTACTACCTCCCGCCTGAGTCAGTACTGTAGTTCTCCTGCTCCGTACATCTCCCTGCACACCACCATCATCCACCTTATAACCCATCTGCGCCGCCGCTGCGGCCGCCACTCCCAAATTCAAATACACCATCCTCGAATCTAAGCTCAGGTTCGCCGCCGCCTCCTCCCTCGACGCAACCATCACCGCGGATTGCACGAGCTCGAGGCACAGCCTAAGCTTATTCGGCTCGAAATGGGCGGCGTTGATTCCCGGAAGCGCCCCTTTAAAGAGAAAATCTGACGTCAGGGACCGCAGTATATCGAGCGGCGTTACGCCGTCGAGCGTGCGGGCGTTTGGGTCGGCGTGGTGGTCGAGAAGCACGGCGACCATGTCGGGGCTGACGAGCTGGGCGGCGATATGGAGGGGAGTGCGTCCGGTGGGCCCGGCGGGGAAGTTGACGTCGGCGGCTCCGAGTTCGAGGAGGGCTTTGACGACCTCGCGGGTGCAGTGCTCGACGGCGTAGTGGAGGGCGAGGGCGTCGTCGAGGTTGAGGCCTTCTCCCATGACCATGAGTTTGACGAGTTCGACGTCGGAGGAGTCGAGGGCGCGGCGCATGCGGCGGATTTTGTGGTGGTGGTCGGTACAAAGGGAGGTGATGTGGTCGGAAGACGAGGAGGGAAGACGGGAGGAGAGCCGCCGGAGTTCTTCTAGTTTTGCGACCACGTCGAGGGGGAGGTGTTTGGCGAGGATTTCGGGTGGTAGACCGGATTTGGCTACCAGATGGGAGCAGGTGGACCAGAGTTGATGCATCTCATGTTTCCGGGCGGCCATTAGGACTTTCATCACGTCCTCGATTGAAGATTTCTCCACCATGCTTTCAAGCTGCTTCTGCGCAACGCCATTAATGGATCTTTTAGTCAGTTTATAAAATAATCGCAGTTAATTAACGTAAAATTTAGTATTTTTTTTTTTAAAATTTAATATTGAATATGCAATTGTAATTTTGCAGGATTTTAGCATCTGCTGATCAAAATTCAGCGCTTCATCATTCAAGATGTTACATGGAAGTCAAATTTTTTTTTTCTCAATTTAATAATTATTTTTGATATATTGCATGCAAATTATTAATTATAAACTATTTATTAGAGTAATATTTTATTTTGCTCAATTTTTTTTTTCTGTGAGATTATCAAATAATTAATAGAAAGTTTGAATCTCAGTAAGTACGTGAACTACATATTTAAAAATTTCACTAATTATTAAGAGAGACAGATTGTCGACTCGTTGGGAAGCAGAAAGAAATCATATTTTCAGTACTGTTTCTAATTTTAAAACTTGAGTTAGATTTTGATTAGAATAACTGCCTGAACTAAGCTTCTTTTCCTTTGGTGTGTTGCTGTTCTAAGGGGAAAATTCTGGCCTTGTTTAATTAATCAAGCAAATTAAATTTCAATTAGGATTTAAGAACTTAAAATAAAATAAAATATTTTTTTAAAATTTTGAAAGCTGTTATTTTAATCTTTAAAATATATAATACTTAGATGAAACTATTTATTACTAAATCATAAAATAAGATTTATGTTAAATGATTAAGATTAAAATTATCAAAATTAAATGTTATTTATTATTGGTATAATTTTTAATGAATGAATAAATAAAATTAAATTGTTAATATGTATAAGAATAATTCAAAATTAGGGAACTAAATAAGCCCTTAAATGAATGTTACTTATGTCTAGTAAGAAATGTAGTAGTTTTGCGGGAAGATTTAATGGAAGTATAGATGGAGCTGAAGAACACCTAAGCTGCTCTCAATAATTCAGAAGGGAAACAGCGCATATAATGAACTGGAGAAGAATGATAAGGTAAAAAAGGGCTTAACCCTAGTTTTTGAACCAACACTGGAAACTGTAATTGGACCTCTACACCTACTCCGACAAGCTTACTGTAGCTACAGTTTCAAAAAGAAACAGGCGTTGCTGAGAGGAAGAAAGCATTTGATTTCCTAAAAAGAAGAAAGAAAGAAACAAAAGCCATACAGAAATTCCTTGCTTGGTGTTAACAAATCAATCGCAGCAACAAAAATGCTCAACTTTGATCGAGCTGTAAATATGGCAAGATTCGATGAGAGCTTTTTTCAGCTTTAGATTGATGGAAGAAGAAGAGGAAGCAAAAGGAAGGGTGAAACATGGAAATTGCTTAATTAAGAGCTCATTTGATTGGCTATATATGGAAATGATGATCATTTCCCACTTATTTCATGTCTGAAAGAGAAGAATGACATCAAAAGTTTTTAAAGATATTTATGAAACATGAAATCCATAAAAATCCAAATCCAAGAAAATGATGGATTCTAAGGAAAATGATGGATTCTGATAAATTTATTTATTTTTTGAAAAGTATGTTATGTAAGTTCAAGCAGATAATGAGCCCTATGGTCAGAAACCCCTTACAGATATCTGCAACTGAAGGAGATCTGATCGATCCCGCAAACACCCTCAATCTCATGAAGATTATCAATCATTAATGGACTCATAAGCTAGTGATTGAGTTTTAGCGAGGAAGTAGATTGAGATGGCTGAAAATTAGAGTTTTTTTTTAAGATCGATGACATGTGATATGTGGATCGATGATGCAAATCTGTGTGAAGTTTGAAAACCCTAACACAAAGAGATCAGTTGAACCTGGGTTAGTAAAGCAAGCTGGTCGACACCGAAGGAGCGGGCGGCGGCGAGGGTGTCGAGGGCGAGGTCGATGGCGGCGGTGCAGTGTGTGTGCCAGCAGCCACGATCGCCGCAGTTGGGGCGAGGTTCATGCTTCTGCAGCTGGATCGAAACTTGGCCGCTGTAGAGAAACTGAAGAAGCAAAAGGAAGACCTCATAGCCAACCGAGCTGACAGGTATCACAGCCCCCCTCGCCGGCGGAGAACGGGGGCTGTGGGGGTCGAGGAGGGAGGCCGGAGCATCGACGGCGCCGCAGAAGAACTTTCGAAAGAAAAGGCTGCGGGCGGCAAGGATACAACGGTGGGCGTGGATGAGGCGGCCTTCCACGCTGAAGGTCACGTCGCTGAAGGCCTGACCATTGATGAGAAGGTTAAGGTAATCCATTGACATGGACTTGAGGCTCTCTTCCATTTCCTTTTACTTATAGCCTCTCTCTCTCTCTCTCTTCTTTTCTTCTTCTTCCTCCCACTTCCTCTTTTTCTAGCTAGCTACTGTGCTTCTGTGGAGATCAACAGGCAGTTTCTTCTAGTTCACCAGATTTGGGGTGATTTTTGCCCTTTGTTTTCTAATAAATGTTTTGTTTTTTTGGGGGGGAAGAGGGGGAAAGGTGGAAGCAATATGGGTGGGTGTGCTGTGCATCTGTGATTTTAAATAATGGGAAGAGTTAAAAGGAGGGCAATAATGCAATGATGCAAATGTTCTGCAATTGAAATAAGGATAAAATTATTCTTTAAATTATTATTTTGCTCTTGGCTTTTTTTCTTTGGCTTTTTTTAATGCATTGTTCATAATTAATTTTATTTTTAAATATAATATTTTAGAATTACTAAATTAATATATCCTTATTATCATATTATTTATGTAATATGTTATATAAAACTCACTATTTAAAGAGGTGACCAGTCAACCATATGTTGTTAGGAAAATAATAGATGTCAATTGATGTTCTGTGTTATTTAAACGTTTACAAATATACCCTGTCATCAATCAACAGAATACAAGGAATTGTACCCCATGCCATTCAGCTTAAATCACAGGTATGATGTAATAAGTACCATGAAGAGAGACAGGTAGTCAAAGTATACAGCACGATCATTACTTTTCTTGGTTGCAGGAACTTCCAGATTTCTCTGTTTAGAATTTAGCAACATCGTGGAACTTGCAAATGCATGAAGCAAGCGGATTATATTCTCTCCACGTGCTTGGATGCTTCCGGGTCTGGTTTAAAATAGTCCAAAATTTAAACCCAAAAAAATAATAATAATATATATAATTATTTAATTTGCATATGAAGTTTTCAATTGTTGAAAATTTAATGAAAGTTAAAAAAAAAAATAAAGCTGATATTTTATTATGTTTTTTAATACTTGGATATTGGTATTCCAATGGAGATATATATAGTTTAGCCTAAAAATTTAGACTTTCAATAATGCATTAAAAAATATATCTTTATCTTTTTTATTATTTATAAAATTATAATGCTATATAAATTTAGGAGTTTTTAATAGTTTCAGTAATGTGTGTGTATATAACTCCTATTTTTATTAGCTAATTAGGGCAATATTTACAAGAAATTAGTCCTATAGGAAAGAAGAATTATCTAAATTATGAGAAGACATTCTAATGCCCTATATGACTTCTATTTTTGTATTGAGGAACTCAATATCAAATATCATTTTCAATAATTTTTTTTTATTAATGGAATCAAAGCACCAAACATGTTTAATCACAAATTTTCTAAGAATTTCTATAGCTTAACAATTGGTTTCTACAACCACAATAGTGAAAAAGACAAAAGAAATACAAGATCGATATTGTCTTAAGCTTCTACAAAAACAACCTCAAAAGCGCTATTATCTATGTCACTCAAAACTAGGGGTGTCAATATTTAACACGACCCGAAAATCCGACTCGAATACGACCCGAAAATTTCGGGTTAGGGTCAACCCGAACCCGAAACAGGTCGGGTTCGGGTTCAACATTTCGACCCGTTTCAAAAATCGGGTCGGGTTCGGGTTAACCCTTTGACCCAAAATTGACCCGATTTTGACCCGAAAACTCGAGATTGAACCATTTTTTACCCGAAAAAGATAAGATAGACCTATTTTTGACAAAAAAACTAGCAATTTTTTGTTGAAAACTGGTCACTCGGGTCGTGTCGGGTTGACCCGGACCTGAAGCGGGCCAGGTTCGGGTCAGGAAAATTAACCCGTTTTCAAAAGCGGGCCGGGTTCGGGTTCACCCGAATAGTGCCAGGTCAGTTTCGGGTTCGACCTGAACCAGACCTGTGACCCGAAATTGACACACCTACTCAAACCATCCCCAGGTATGATACTTGACTCTTAGCTGCTTGAAGAAGACAATTATAATACATGGTGTTAGGATATATGAATTAGCTTGAGTGCAAAGAATAAATTTTGATTTGTGGCTTAACCATTTCATCTTGTCCAAATGAACTTATTTAGTCCATATAGAACAAAACCTTTAAATTGATTAAACTGATAAAACCTAAGGCTTCAAATTAATTCTAATAGGTCAATCATAGATGAACTACCCTCAATTATCCCTTTGACTGACAAATAGCTCATTTAATTAAATTTGATATATTTTATGCCATTTTGTACAATTTTGACCAAATTAAGTTAATCCCATCCTTTGAACTCATTCCAAATGATTAAGCATAGTTGACAACCCTTAATTGAGCTGAGTTTAGCTAACTAATTCAACTAACCTAACTGACCAAACTGAATCTCCATGAGATGCATATGAGTTAACTATAGCTCCATTGGGCAGGCCACTTGTGGATCAATCCAATTGGGTCAATTAAATCAAATTAACTCATATGGACCTATTAGGTATATATCCCATGAGATATATCACCTTTATCCCTCAAATGAGTTATGCTAATTGGATATGTTATATTTCCTAAACCCTAAGATACCCTAATCTACCAACTTAACCCGAATAAAGGCTAGTTAACCATTCGCTATGGGTCGTTAAGAGGGAATAAGCTATTTCAAGAAGTATTATGGTAAGTTCATGCAGGGAACATCATCTCCCTTCTTAATTTATTCCCTATGAATCCCATCCATCAACCCTAATGAGCTTAAGGTAGATGAAAACCCGTTATGGTGATTAAGCAAGTATTAATTCAAGATTTAGGGTGATTAATGCAGCAAAGGATTGAGACCTTCTCATTCACTTCTCTGAGCTTGAGAAATTTCCCAAAGTAATCTCAAACTCCTCAACTTCTTGAGTGAGCTCCAACCACACTAGCCAGGCTAATAATTTAAGACGGTTTTTATCTTTCCAACAATCCAGGACACCTTAAGCTAAATCTAATGAGGGTTCTTCTCGTCCTCACCTCTTGATGGGTGAGGGGTCCATTTGGGCTTGTCCCATGAGTTATGTAGGTATAAATCCTAAATCTTGGCTCAAACTTTAAGTGTTTGGTATATATGTTAACACACCTCCACTCACCCGCGGTTAACATCATCATCATGCTCTGTCATCTCAGCAGTAGTGAACCTCGTCTCACTGAACCCGCAGTCTGGCGCCAACGGCTTGTCTCCCCAAAAAGCTCTATATAAGCGTCTACTGTACACTGCAAATATCATGCTTCTCGAATGAGATGATATGGCTTCCATGAAAGCTTCTACTCTCTGTTTTCCTCTTTTCTAACCTTGCAGGTCTTCGTTCATGGTATCAGAGCGTGAACCGCCTGCAGAACTCTCATCGCTGAAGAATGGCGGACCAATCTTCCTTATCTCAGACGTCTTCTTCCTCGGCGCTGCTCACATCCATGACGGCAGTATCAATACCACCTTCGCTCAAATTTCTGATGTCTAATCTCAAATTCATAGTGCATACTCAACTCACTATAGATAACTATGCCATCTGGCGTATTCAAATTTTTCAAGCCTTCACTGCCAATGGATTCGACGGTTATATCATCGGAACTCTTCCGTGTCCACCTGAAGGTTCGGAAACAGCGGCTGACCACAAACTGTGGAAACTCGTAGACCAGAACCTCATTTCAGCCCTATATTCTACCATTTCACCGTCCGTGCTTCCTCACATTCTGCATCTCAAGACATCGCAGGACATCTGGAACGCGCTAGAGCTGCGCCTGCAACCTACAAATAGATCAAGAGTGATACAGTTAAAGAACGAGCTTCATAACACTCAAATGTGCGACCTAACTGTAACACAATACCTGAGCAAGATCAAAACACTCATAGACAACATAGCAGCGGCTGGTTGTCATTTAGACACGGAGGATATCATTCACTACACTCTCAAAGGTCTACCGTCGTCATACAATCCATTCAAGGCAGCAATACGAATTTCACCGCATCCCATAACACTAGAGTCTCTCTACTCGCTGCTTTGCAGTGAAGAGATAAACCTACAATCCAAGGTGCAGCAGGACAATGCTGCGAATGCCGATCATCAGGCTCTATATGCCACAAGAGGTTGAGGAAGAACCTCCAACTACAGAGGCAACAGAGGACGTTCAACTACATTCAGCTCCGCTCAGACCAGCCGTCCCCCACCATCTACTACCAAGACAGGAGAACGGACTTACTGCCATATATGCGGCAAACCAGGTCATCTAGCAGCCGCCTGTTGGCACAGATACAACTCAAACTACATTTCCCCAACTCCATCCAACCCCAGAGCTCTACTCACGCAAAACCAATCGTCTCCTACAAATGACTGGATTTTGGACTCGGGAGCATCTACACACCTCACGTCAGACATTTCTAATCTTCACCACTCGGCTCCGTATCAGGGTACCGACTCAGTCTCAACAGCAAGCAGATCGTCTCTTCCAATCCTTCACAACGGCGCTGGTATCCTACCCCTACCCGACACTAACCGTAAGCTTCATCTCAAACATCTTCTTCACGTTCCTTCACTTACACACAATTTAATCTCCATCTCTCATCTAACCGTTGATAACCAATGCTCCATCTCCTTTGATTCTAATGGTTTTGTCATCAAGGATCTGCTGGACAACAAAATTCTTCTCCGTGGACATAATCGAAATGGAATCTACCCTCTGAACTCCGGCAATCAACATCCCACTCAAGCTCTCAGCACACAACTCGCTTCCGCCTCTCTCTGGCATTCCAGATTAGTTCATCCTCATCAACGCACGCTGAATACACTATCTAAACTTCTACCTAGTATATGTAATAGGTCTCAAAATTTTCTCTGTTCTTCCTGTAAAGTGGCTAAAAGCCACAGGCTTCCATTTCCTAAGGAAGCCAATCATGTATCCAAACTATTTAGTTTAATTCACACGGATGTTTAGGGTCCCTCGCTGGTCCCTTCTCTAAATGGCCATCGATATTACATTATCTTTATAGACGACTGCTCTAGATTTTGCTGGCTATACCTCATGAATGCTAAAAGTGAAAGCTTCCTAAAATTTAAACACTTTTACAACATGATTCAAACACATTTTCACTCCCCAATAGCTACACTTCGTTCGGATGGGGGAGGCGAATACACAAGCCAGGAATTCAAAAATCTTCTGCTATCTCACGGAATTAAACATGAATTCAGCTTTCCCTACACTCCGGAACAAAACGGAGTCTCTAAATGAAAACACAGGCATCTGGTTGAGACAACCCGCACTCTACTTCATGCCGCAAACCTCACACCTAATTTCTGGGCCGATGCCATTCAAACAGCCAACTATCTCATTAACAGATTACCCACATCGTCCCTCAATAATCAGATTCCATATCACCGTCTTCACGGCCATCTTCCTAACTATGAGCATCTACGAACCTTCGGCTGCTTGTGTTTTCCGTGGCTTCAACCTCAAACACCTCACAAATTAGCTCCTCGTTCCACTCCTTGCATCTTCCTAGGATACTCCACCTCACACAAAGGATACAAATGTTACAATCCGCAAAACCACAAACTACATATTTCTCGTCATGTACACTTTCAAGAACTCAACTTTCCCCACACAATACCCCCACCTCCTTACAACACTTCCTCTATTACGGGCACTCCTCCTCTAACTCCCACCACTCCAACTCTCCTCCTCCTCAACCCGTCACAGACCCTCTACAATCTCACCATCCAATGAAAACGAGACTTCAAACCGGCCACCTAAAACTGAAGAAGATCTTCGATCTACTTGCTGTTACTGACTCGAGCCCAACGCCCTCTAGCTACTCTCAAGCTATCAAACAGCCAGTGTGGAGACAAGCGATGTCAGCCGAGTTCGTAGCACTACAAAAGCAAGGGACGTGGTCTCTCATATCTCCTCCCTCCCACGCTCCTATACTAGGCTGCCGGTGGACCTACAAGACCAAACTTAATGCAGACGGAACCATTCACAGCCACAAAGCTCGTCTAGTCGCGCAAGGCTACACTCAACAACGTGGCATCAATTATACAGAAACATTCAGCCCGGTGGCTAAAATGCCTACTATTCGGGTCCTGCTTGTCATCTCCATTCAAAGGAACTGGCCTCTACTTCAATTTGACGTAGCTAATGCCTTTTTACACGGTGAGCTTCAAGAGGAAGTCTATATGCAGCAACCACAAGGTTTTGTTGATCCAGATCATCCCGATCATGTGTGCAAACTACACAAAGCCATCTATGGCCTAAAGCAGGCTCCCAGATAGTGGTTTAACAAGCTCACACAGTTTCTCTTAAACTTTGGCTTTAAGTTCAGTAAAGCCGACCCCTCTTTGTTGATCTACATCACCCTGCAGATCCAACTATTCTTGCTCATCTATGTTGATGACCTGCTACTGACCAGAAATCATCAGCAAACAATTCAACTACTGATGCACCAACTACAGACAAACTTTGATCTAAAACAGCTCGGGACGGCAAAACTATTTCTGGGAATTCAAATCACTCAAACGCCCACTGGTCTTTTCCTAAGCCAATCGCACTATGCTCGTGACATCCTGCTCTCCTCTGGCTTCGACTCCTGCAAACCAGTTGTCACTCCTATCTCCCTAAAGTCTTCAAAAGATATTGCAGATCACACTCCATACGACAACCCCACTCTCTACCATCAACTTGCAGGATCCTTACAGTATCTAACAGTAACCCGACCAGATATTGCCTTCACAACCAACATTATCTGTCAAAAAATGCACAGTCCGACTGTCTCTGATCATCACCTTCTAAAGTGCCTACTCAGATATATCAAGGGGACAATGCACTACGGCATTCCGCTCAAATCCGGTTCACTACATCTCTCTACCTACAGTGATGCGGACTGGGCCGCTAACACAGAGGATAGAAAATCGATTTCAGCATTCTGCACCTACCTTGGCGACAATCTCATATCTTGGAGCGTGAAGAAACAATCAACAGTGGCAAGGTCCTCAACAGAGGCTGAATACAGGGCGTTAGCCGCGGCTACTTCAGACGTCCTTTGGCTACGTCGTCTAATGGCAGACTTTCAAGTCCCACAACAAACGCCCACACCAATCTTCTGCGACAACATCTCTACACTTGCTCTAGCAAACAATCCAGTGTTTCATGCGAGAACCAAACACATAGAGATTGATCACCATTTCATCAGCGACCACATCAAAAACAAAACGATCGAGGTGTCTCACATTAGCTCACTGGACCAGCCGGCGGACATTCTCACCAAGCCACTGAATGCAATCAGGTTCTCTCTTCTACGCGACAAATTAACACTCTGTCTCCCAGAGCGTTCATTTGAGGGGGGGCTGTTAACACACCTCCACTCACCCGCGGTTAACATCATCATCATGCTCTGCCATCTCAGCAGTAGTGAACCTCGTCTCACTGAACCCGCAGTCTGGCGCCAACGGCTTCTGACTTACCCAACGGCTTGTCTCCCCAAAAAGCTCTATATAAGCGTCTACTGTACACTGCAAATATCATGCTTCTCTAATGAGATGATATGGCTTCCATGAAACCTTCTACTCTCTGTTTTCCTCTTTTCTAACCTTGCAGGTCTTCGTTCAATATATATGGAGTGATCTAAATTAACTATGACAAGTTGAGTTAACACCACCCTAGGATAGCTTCTGGCTCCCACATGCTACTCGCAACAAGAATTATTACTTTGGTGATAGATGAGGAAGATTTTCCATGTAGGCTACCCCCAATCAATCTCTTCCCAAACTTAGCTCCTTTGGTTAAAGTACACTGAGTAAGATGCAATCCAAGTAATTGATTGGATTTTAAATAAAAATTAATGATGGAAATTTAATGCAAATCCAATTTATATGATTTGCTTTAGATGTTTCATAGAGTTCATTCCTAAGTCAAATTTCATGACAATTTAAACCCGCATGCGTTAGGATTCATAGATTCATGAAAAATATGCATAAGTGCAATTTTCAAATATTTCTAAATTTAAAAAAATAATAATAAAATGGATTAAATGCTCAGAGGATTTCTAATTTTTAAAACTCATTGATATCAAATTAAGCTCCGCATAGTTTTCGTTAGCCATAATGTTCATTTATAAGAGTTTGACATTTTTTTTATATTGAAATTCATTGTTATATTATCATTTCATATGTCAGCTACGATCTTTTAATTTGGCCTTGGAATTTTTTTTGTGAGTTGTTTGCATGTTATTTATGATCCCTAAAATTTAGTATAATTTTTAGAGGTTATTTAATATATTTAATTGTTTAAATGCTATGTATTTTAATTATTAAAATTTGAAAAATATCAAAAATAATTATGGTATAATTTAAGATATTTAATGTATGGAATTTGATTTTCCAAAATATGTATGTTAGGAGTTTTCCTTCACTTTTTTCTTATGATTTTAAAAATTTTATTAGGGAAAAATAGAAATCTTAAATTACCATATTTCCCTTAAGATATACATTAAAATCAAGTAATAGTTCATGGGCATGTGGCACCACTAGGACCTTAACTTAATTTTTCTTGAGCTATTAATTAAGGAAATAAGTAATATTTCAATTATTATGATAGAAAAAATCCCAAATAGCTTTCGAAAAATTTGGAGTTTCTCAAATCATTAATTTGAGTGATCACATGCATTGGTATATTTTTCCAAAATAAAAACAAAATTTTCTAACTTTTTTACTTCAAAACTTAATTTATTTCTAATTAGGAAAATCAATTTCATTGCAAAATTTTTCTTTTAATTTATGGATTTACTTTTATTTTAAAACTCAATGAATGATTTGAAATACTTTCAAATTTAATGAAAAATTGTATTTTAATTATATAATTTTTATAATTAATATGATATTTATAATAATTATGAAAAAATACCAACAAAAATATTTTTTTTTGTGAGTAAATATATTATTCAAATTTCATATGCATTGAATTTATGTACATTGATATATGTATTTTGCAATATTAAATTCTGCATTAATTTTATTATTGAAAAATTCATCCTTCTCTTTTTTTTTTGGTTAATGCCCACAAAGGAACATACGCGTTACATAATTAAAAAGTTACAAGTTCTTAGAGGACCAGAAGCTCTCTAAAAGTACAATAATTGAAGTAAAACCTAATGAGCATGAAATCCTATCTATTATATTACAAAATAAAAAGAACAGATAATCAAGAAAAGGAAGCAAACCCAAGAAGAAAAAGCAAGCTAGTAAATTAGCAGTCACGACGGTCAACACCAGTAGCTCCAACCTCCAACCACGCTTAACAACACAAGCACCCAAATATCTATATCAAGTTAAGAGGCTCCAAAAGAAAATAAGAAACCAAAACTAAACAAAATAAGAAGGCACTTCACCCACAACAGGAAAGCAACATAGCACCAACACCCATAACCCAACAGAAAAAACAACCCCTAGCCCAGAGGACAAGACAACAACACCAAAAGCCACACAACCAATAGAACACCAAAGCAACTAAAGAAAACCTAGAAGCAATACAAGCCTCACCACAACCCAAAAAACACAGACATAAACAGAATTTGCCCCGACCAACACTAATTGACATTGGATCTTGAGGAATTGCCACTAGAATACGTGAACTTGTAATTCATTCATTTATTTTTCTTTCATTTCTTACCAAAACTACATTTCTCTTATGGCTTGATCTCTCATCTTTAAGGTCATGGTATGGTATTAATGATACACATCCTTAAGCATTTAAAAACAATCTTAATTAATTAATTTTTTTCCATAATTTTGACCCTTTGGTGTTATTATTAAAAACATTAAATAATTCTTAAAAATAATTCAATATTCATAATGTTTCTTGACTTTATTGGAGACATTTGGCATGTTAATCTTTTTCTAATTTGATATTGGTTGATTAATTAGCTAAATTACCCTAATTATCCCTGGTTGTCTTAGTTATTCAAGTGTTAGTTTCAATTATAGTTTGAAAATACTTTCACACAACTCCTCACTAACCTATTTTGATATGAGATCATCTCATATAGATCAATATCCTCTCTCTCCTCGCTCTGAGCGCCGTCAAGGCGATTTAGGGTTTCTTCATGGTGCGAGTGATTTTGAGCTCGATCCAGTCTTTTTTCTTGCGTGGATCTCGCTGGAGTTGGTGTTTTGTGAGTTTCCTTCTTCTCTTTGCCCTTTCGGGCTGTTGGAATGGCTGGGGTTCCTCCTTCCAACCCGTGGGGGAAGATTTCGGGCCCGATTCAAGGCTTAAACAGGGGCTTTTTTTCTTTAGATGGAGAGGGTGCGGTTTCTTCGCCTTCTCGGTCTTTTAAAGATGTTCTTTCTGCTGATCCGATGTCAGGTGACAAAATCCCTAACTTAACTCAATCGACGTTTAATGGAGTTTCGGCTGTTCTACTTTCGGACGAAGATGTCCTTAAACTTGCATCTCCATTTCAGTTCACCTTGGTAGGAAAGTTTGGTTTGCGTAGACCGAATCTCAACTCTATTCGTAGTTTTTTCGGTAATTTGAAGTTATCTGGTTTCTTTTCAGTTGGTTTAATGGATTCTTGCCATGTTGCTATTCAGCTTTCTAATGATCTAGATTATAGTAGGATTTTTGTTAGAAGAGCTTATTTCATTAACAATTGTCAAATGCGCGTTCTTAAATGGACACCTTTTTTTGATGTTAAAGAGGAATCTCCCATTGTTCCGATTTGGATCTCTTTTCCTAACCTAAGATTACATTTCTTTAACCCAAAAGTTTTGCATGCATTAGGCTTGATTTTTGGTAGGCCGCTTCAAACTGATCAGGCCACTGCTGCTAGAACTCGACCTTCTGTTGCTAGAATTCTGGTGGAAGTTGATATTTCAAAAAAACATCTGAAGGAGGTTTGGGTGGGTTCCAAAGCCTTTGGTTATCTTCAAAAAGTTGAGTTTGAAAAAACACCGGATTTCTGTCAAAACTGTAAGATTCATGGTCATTCTGTTAGTGAGTGTTTCAAGTTGCATCCGCATCTTAAAAAAACTGCTCTTCAAAATAAAGAGGTTTCTGTTTTCGAAGAAAATCTAGTTGAAATTCCCTCTAATAACGCAGAAAACCCCGTGAATTTAGAACAAAATTTAAATGTGATCAATGAATCTGTTAGCCCTGCTGTTACAGAGAATCCGAAAAATAAATTTTCGATGTTAGAAGACCTTAATGAAGAAAATGAAGTGATCTCTAATGTTTGTGTGAAAGAACCTGACATTTATATATCGATAGATTCTATGCTTAATTTACCTAAAGATATGCTTGATCATGCTCATAAACAGGTTGATGTTTCGAATGAGCAAGCTAGTACAGAAAAAGAGGGATGTGAGGAAGGGGAATTTATCCCCAACTTGAACAATGAAATGGATCTTTATGAGGTGGCTGGTAATATCATGGAGAATAAAGAGGATAGCTTTACTACTAACGATGTTGGTAAGCCTTCTTCCTGTGATGAAGATGGGGAGTTCATTAAGGTGGGAAGGAAAAAGGGTAAGAATATCTTACCTTCGACGCCCCGTCCAACCCGTGCTAAAACTTCTTCAAAATCTTTTAATGGTTAACACACTTATCTGGAACATAAGAGGTATTGGTGGTAAGGACTCTTTTTTTAGAGCTAAAAATTTGTGTAGAATTTACAATATTCAAACTCTTGTTTTACTTGAGCCTTTTCTTGCTAGGGATAAAATTGCTATTACTGCTAAAAAATTAGGTTTCTCTGACTATTTTGTTAACTGTTCGAACAAAATTTGGATTTTCTGGAAAAATTTTGTCGATTTAAATATTCTTGATGATTTTCATCAAGTTGTTAATGTCAAGATTTCCCTTTTCAATTTTAGTTGTAAAGCTTCTTTTGTTTATGCTGCTAGCACTAGCTCTGGTAGGGCTGTTTT